TCACTGAGGAATGCTCAGCATGGAAGAGATGCAGCTGCCAACACCACACTGACACCAGCTCTGGACAACTCCAGTTAATTACAGGAAGGGTCGACTGCAGACCTCTGCTTTAGACTGGGTTTGGCCACAAAAAAAGGGGAAAAAAGATGGGAAGCTAAATTTAAAAAGCCTTATCAGCACAGGCAGCTTTATGCATCTGTCTCTCAGCACTACAAGAATCCATTTTCCAGGGAAGTTAACTTGGATCTGCCAAATGGCTGCAGAGGAGCTTTAACATCTTCACTTGCTCTTGGTTGTTTACTCTGCTCAGAAAAAAACCAACCCACACATCCCTTGACACTTTGCTTTCAAGATGCAGTAAATAATTCAGGCTCAATACATTATCAAAATACTTATCAAGGAACTTTTTGTTATCCAAAGCTCTGTGTGTCCCACAAAGCTCTGTCCATGCTGGTGGCTTCATCTGTGGCACGAAAAACATCTCTTAACCAAGGTGACTCCAGCAAAGCAACCTCTGAGAAATGCCACAAGGCAAAGGCTTGCTAAAACACATCTTTTGTATTTGCATTGTCAAGGAAAAATGTTCTTGTTCTTTTTCATTAGAGGACTTGTGCTGTGCACCTATACAAAGCACAAACTGTCCCAGACATAACTAAAAAACAAGTTCTATAAATCAGTTGGTTTTTTTTTTCCAAAATGAAAGCATCATTTCATTGACATTAAGACTGAGGTCCTTCAGTGGAATATCTGGTGAGGTTGAAACAGAAGTCCTAAAGCAGTATCAGGTCTTTAACTGAGACGAAATTACTGGGTTCTCAAACAAAAAGCAAATGTTGCTGCACTTCCACCTTAGCTGAAGGTTCAAATCATTTTAAGTACATCTTAAATCATTACTGCTGCAAGCATTCCTTAAAATTATAGCTGTAGATTGAAATTGTAAGTTAAAAATTTACAAACAATGAAATCTAGCAACAATCACTTGCCTACAAAATATGAATTCTAAAGCAAGGTGTAGTGGTTTATTCATTTCATGAGGACAGCCTGAGAAGGGCTGCTTTTCTAAGCACAGAAAGTTTGGTTTGCTAACTTAAGCAAGCAGTGCAGCAAAAAACATGCAGCCCAGTAATTGCCAACCTACAGCCCAGCTAGGTAAAATGCCAGTAAGGCTGACATTCCTTAGGAATCAGCTGTACATTGATTAAATTGGTATTTAGGAGACTCCTCTCAGTTTCCCAGGACTGGGTGATCCCCCAGTTCTTCAGGCAGTACTTGTGCATTTGCTGTAGCTGAACATAAATGCAGCCATTCCTGTCTCTGGTGCTGGAAGACCCTGGAAATGAAGCCCACATTATTTTCAAATAAACATCAGTTAAAATTTATCACCACCATCCTTCAGACTGAAGACATGTAAGGCTGATTCTGCACTCTAATTTCCCCGTTAATCAAGACAGTGTCAGATAATTTAAACCATGAACAATGTGAATGTTAAACAGTTTCTCCCTCTAGTATGTGTTTGCAATCTGTAACAGACGAGCTCGTTAGCATTGACTTAGAATGTTATGTAATGGCTGAGGTATTTGTAATAAAAACAGTCTATTTCTGTTAGCCTGTTCTTCATAGACATAAAAGCTGTCTTCATCTGATTTTTATTAGGGCTTCATCTTCCTCTGCTCTTGACGCATTTTTTAAGACTCCTGTGCACTCCATTTTCATTTCACCAATACTCTGGATTATTTTCTCCCACGTCCTCACCCGAATTTCAGATTTTCACACTACATTCCCCCATAAGCTTCTACCGAGTTTTGTAAAACCCAAACCCAAAAAATAATGAGAGCATGAGGCTGAGCAAAGGAAAAAATTTCCTGCAGAAGATGAACTGGTTCTACCAGTAAAACACCACCAGCAGCGCTGTCATTACAAGCCCAACATCCATCCCTGGCTAGTGGGAAGCTGCTGCATTTTCACGTGGTGGAGTTTTCCCCCCTCAAACCCTCCACTACTGCAGGAGCCTCTGAAGAGAAGTGTTTTTCCTTCTCTCACGTCCCCAATCCACTACTCGAGGCTTTACTCCTCTGTAAGAGTACCCTGCAAGGCTTGAACTCTTCTGCAAGATTTTGATCTGCTCATTTTATCCACACCACCCCTTATATGGTATTCATCTACCCTCTCTCACATCCCTGCCATTCCTCAGCCTGGAAATCAGCCTGGAACAAAGGAATTCCCAGTCCTGCAGGACACCTGGCTGAAATGGGCCCCACAGAACAGAATCCTGCTCTCACTTCCATTCTTTCTCTTAACTGCCACCCAGCACTCACTCAGACAGCCCCAAACCCACGGGGTTTGGAATTGCATCATCCCTCCCTTGCTCACCGGGGCCTGTTTCACCTTCCCTAAGGACACAGGACCTATGGAAGGTGCATCCCATAAATCCACAGCACTGGACCAGGAACCCAAGCTAAAACTGGAGACTGATGTAACATTCTGCTCTACAAAAAACCAGGGCTCCCATTATGGAAAGCCTAAATGAGAGCAAAGATTTTATAAATTGCTACTAAACTGCCAAGACACAGAATATTTACATTACCAAGACTCACAGAAGCAACTGGATATTGAATTATACATATTTCATGGGCTATTATCTACAAAAGCCAAGAGCTTCATACAAGCAATGGATGCACCCAGCAAGGCAGAGCTGGAGGTGCCAGACAGAGCCTCAATCCTGCTCTCCAAGCAGTGGCCCAAGAGAGAAACAAGCCCTCACTTCAGTTCAAAGAGTGACCTCTCAATCCCACATCACCAAAGCACCTTCCCACTGAATATTCATCCAGTTCACACAACTCCCAAAACTTTGAGAGTCTTTATTCTCAAGAAAACAGTTGCAGAGCTGCCCCACAACACCCACAAAATGAATGTAGAAACAAAATTCTCTAGACTACAGAATTAAAAAAACCCTGACAGCCACACGGAGCTCCTGGCAGTCAGTATTTAAGGTCAATCCTTTTGTTTCTCATACATGGACAAATGAGATCATGTCCTGTTTCCTGCCCCTTCAAAAGCAGTTTCTTGTCTGTTCTTTCTTGTTCTTTAAGAAGGCCACCAAGCAGGCCAGGTGCCTCACTGCACAGGAAATAAAACTATTAAAAATCACAGCCCTGTTCCTTCTGCTGGAAATACTGTAAATTTCCAGCAATAAACCTATTTAACCCCAATAATTAGGGCAACAAGGAGAAACGGCCCTTCCTTGAAGATATTGACTTCAAGACGTTCCACCAAAGAATATATTTAGAGAAGACCCACGTGAAACACAGAAAGGAAGAAAACCCACGATGCTCCATTCAAGGCCCACCACCACGCTCTCGTGCATGTCCCCTCCCTCAGGAAGAGGGCCCAAACTGGAAATTATCTTTTAGCCTCAAAATTTTCAATCCCCGCATCCCTGGATTATGCCCGCTGCAGACCAACTGCGTGGATTTCAGCCGTGTCACCTCAGCGCGCTCCCACCACCCCTGAACGCCACCCACGGGAACACCCCAGCCCCACAAATCCCGGCCCGGGAGCACAAACAATGCCTCCCTTCACCCAGCCCCGCACCGAACCACCCGAGGACGGCCTTTTACCGCAGGCGGACGGTGCAAGGAGCCCGGATGGGAATTCCAGAGCGGGGAAAGCGGGGGGCCGCGCCTCCAGCACCCCGGGACGGGGCTGCAATCCCCCCGGCTCCCGCAGAACCACAGCGGCCACGGAGCGCGAACGCACGCAGGGCGGGCCGCGTTCCTCCGGGAGCCCCCAGAGAGAGCACGGCACGGAAAGGAGAGGAGAGGAAAGAGGAGACCAAGCGCCCTTAAAAAAAGGAGAAAAGCGGGGAGCGAAAAAGAGGGCGGGAGAAGGAAGCAGCACCGCCGGCTCCGCCGCCTCTCCCGCCGGCCCCGGGCGCGGCCCGGGCTGAGCCCGGCGGGGCGCGGCCGCGCCGCCTCGGCCGCTCGCACACAGGGGCCAAGATGGCGGGCGGCCAAGCCGGGCGCCAACGACGTCTGACGTCACCGCGCACGGCGCGAGCCGCCGGGCCCGCCCCCCGCGCCGCCGGTCACGTGACAGCGCCGTGCCGCAGTCGCGCGGGCTCCCGGGGACAGGTGCGCCCCCTAGCGGCGCAGGGCGGAGGGCGGGGCAGCGCGGACCCGGCCCCATCCCGGGTTTGTCCCGGTCCTGTTCCGGTTCTGTCCCGGGTCTGTCCCGGCCCCATCCCGGTCCTGTCCCGGTCCTGTCCCGGGCCTGTCCCGGTCCTGTCCCAGTTCTGTCCCGGCCCCATCCCGGGCCTGTCCCGGTCCTGTCCCGGGCCTGTTCCGGTTCTGTCCGGTTCTATCCCGATTCTGTCCCGGTTCTATCCCGGCCCCGTCCCGGGCCTGTCCCGGGTCTGTCCCGGTTCCCATACTGGTTCTGTCCCGGCGCCATCTCGGTCCTGTCCCGGGTCTGTCCCGGTTCTGTCCCGGTTCTATCCCGGCCCCATCCCGGTCCTGTCCCGGTTCTATCCCGGTCCTGTCCCGGTTCTATCCCGGTCCTGTCCCGGTTCCCATCCCGGTTCTATCCCCATTCCATCCTGGTTCTGTCCCGGTTCTATCCCGGTCCTGTCCTGGTTCCCATCCCAGTTCTATCCCGGCCCCATTCCCGTTCTATCCCGGTTCTGTCCCAGTCCTGTCCCGGTTCTATCCCGGCCCCATCCCGGTTCTGTCCTGGTTCCCATACCAGTCCTGTTCCAATTCTATCCAGGTTCCTGTTCCAGCTCTATCCTGGCCCCATCTCGGCCCCATCCCAGCCCTATCCTGGTCCCATCCCAGTTTCCATCCCGGTCCCCATCCCAGGAATTCAAGGTTCCCTGTAATTCTAAGGCTGCTCAGGCAATGTCAGGGATGCCTGCTTGCTTGGATTTGTCGCTGTATGTATAATTTATTATTATATATCAATATATTAACATATATAATCTTTCGCATACACCTTCTTTGTTGATATTTCTATCCATACAATGGATGGATTATACATATACAAGGGCAAGAGTCTCCCTCTGCCACAGCTCGGGATCCTCTTCACACACCCTGATAATAAACCATTAATAAAGCCACCAGCAAAGAGCAGATCTGTGAGGTTTATTTGTGGCTCCCTCCTTCCTGTCCCAAAATCACCAGACACAGCAGTAGCTCTCGACAGTTCACGTTTCACAAAATCTCAGGGAGGTGTGGGTCTTGCCCAAATTTCGGGAGCGGGGGCAGGAAGGCTGGCCTCATGCTCAGCAGTTCAGAATGGTGAACTCCCTGTGTCACCCTGGTGGAACATCAGCAGGAGGTGGCCGGGCACACTCAGCCCCAGGCTGGTGCCAGCTCCAGCCCTCTGGCATCACCCGGCACAGCCTCGCTCCATCCCCACATCACCTCTCTGGGTTCCTCCTACAGCCGGGGCGCTGCGCGGGGGCTCCAGCCCGGCCGGGGGTGCCTGGAGAAGAGCCAAGCTGCCGTGAGAGCAGCTGGCAGAGCCAGGAGGCACATCCAGCCCCAGCCCCAGGAGCCGCCGGAGCCGTCCCGCAGCGGCCGCGTCCTCAGCGGCTTCAGGGAGCGCTGCCACTGGGTGAGCACGGCGGCCCTGGCCCCGCTCCAGCTGCCCCGGCCCGCCAGCCGGTACTGGTACGGGGAGCAGGGCCCAAAAAAGATGGCCAGGCCCAGCCGGGGGTCTGTCAGCAGCAGCCTCAGCACGCTGGGCTTGACGCCAGCGCACGCGGCGATCTTGTCCACGTAGCTGATGAAACTCATCTTCAGGTTCTCCCTCTCACGCGGATTCCTAAAATGGGAAGGAAGAAATAAAAGTCAGGTGGCATCATCCTGTCTCAGCTCCCAGCTCCATGGGCAGCAAAGGCCTCGGCTCTCTTAGCCCCAAACAAAGCGAAAGACACTGAAGGAGCCTCCGTGGGGCTGGTGCCAGCAGTTCCCCGGGGCAGGGGATAAGCAGAAACCTGTTTTGTCTCTGCTGCATAGTTGTGGCTTCAAAATCAGCTCTACCTTAACAGTAGCATCATTGTAATGCCACAAGTAGCCTGCTATGTCCTTCCCTGAGGTTCAGGGGTGTGGATTTGGCTGATTTCAAGAAGTAGAGATGTAGAATTTCAGAGATAAGGATGCCAAGGAGACTGGGGAAATCTGGGAAATGCAGAAAGCTTCCCATGCTGGGAGGCACCTCCAGGATTTTTTTGCTTGAAACCTTATCTCCCTCACAGGAGGGAGGACGTGCTGATCTGCTTGAGAAAAGTTTGAGACGGCCTCAAGTTTTTTCCCCTTGCACCTCAGGCTTCCATATTTCTCTGTAACAGAAATTTCCATATTTCTATGTAACAGAAATTTCCATATTTCTGTGTAACAGCACCATGGTGCAGTCAGTGGGGCTCCTGGTCATAACCCCGTGGCCTTGTTTTGTCCCAGCTTTTCCGCAGTGTCCCATGAGCCAGCCCTGCCCTGCTGGCAGACCCAACCCTGAGGTCCCCTCCTTGCTCCATCATCATCCATCCCACATCCTTGTGGACACCTCCTGTAAAATCCCAGTGCCAAGGAGGCAGGCTGTCAGCTCCCACACACACAGCGGCCTGGTGGGACACGCACCTTGACCTGCCAGAAAGTGACACAAGCCATCCCCCACCCACACTGCCCAGCTCCACGGGGTTCTGGATGGAATCTGGATGGAACTCAGCTCTCCCCACTGCCTGGATTTGGGAGGGAGAAGCCACGAGATGGCACCCTCAGTCTGGAGGAAACCAAACCTTCATCTTGACGTGCTGGGAACAAGGACATGGCTTGGAGGCCTGGCAGAGGGGGATCTCCAGAGAACGGGAGAGAAAGGGATGGAGGAAAGGAGATGGGAAGGGAGGGAAGGGGAGCTGCAGGCCCTGCTCTTGTCATGAACTGCTCCAGAGAAGCTTATGGTGTCTTGCTTCGTAAAGGAGCCACAGGAGCATTTTCCCAGCTCAATGCGGATGGCAAGGTAATAAATGCAGAGTTGGGTGTGCTGAGCAGGTCCCTCCCGTGTCTGCCATTGAGTCCCCCCCTACCCTGAGTTTATCCTGGCACACAGAACCCATCTCATCCTGACTGCAGGAGCCTCACACACCTTTTGACTGGTGGCTTCCTCTTCAAAACCTCAGCCATCATCCTGCTGGGGGGAGGCAGCTTGTTCCAGCCTGAGAACAGAGAAACCAGCGAGCTCCAGCAGCACCTTAAGAGGACATGTTCAGCCCCTTCCCACCATCCCAGCACCTTTCCTGAGGTGTGGGATGCAGCTAGTGGACAGAGGCTACCCATGGAGCTGAAATATGCCCTAAGCTCTGTGGGCAGCAGGTCAGGCTGACCCAAACCTCCCACCCAGAAGATCTCCCCCATCTCCTACCTGCAAAGACCCCTGTCACCCAGCGAGCCTGCATTTCTGACCCCACCATGATGGAGCCTGTCAGCTGGATCAGGCCAATGATGGCCAGCGTGGGCTTTTCCAGCTGGGGAGGGAAGACGCAGTTGTAGAGGGAACGGTTGTCGTCGATGGCGCCGCGAACGGACTCCTCGAGGAAGGGGAAGGAAAAGTTGTAGCCCGTGGCAAAGAGCACCACGTCAATGTTTTCTTCAGTTGTCCCGTCTTCGAAAACAGCAGAGCTTTCAGTGAACTCCTTCACGTTTGGCTTCAGCACCACAGTCCCAGAGAGGAGGCAGAACGGCAGCTCTTCATTGATAATCATCTTAAACTTGGAGCTTGCAGTGTGGAAAAGAGGGCAGTGGTGTTAGTATCTGGGAGGGACCTAAAATGACTTTTTTTATGGTCAGAACCCCAATGGTTTGCTATTCCACAAGTATCCCCCAAAACTGAGAATTAAGCATTTCATATTATGAAGACCTCCTGAGCACCCAACAAAACAATCAGAAAAAACACCTCTTGCTGGAAGCCAAGCCATAGTTTGTGTGGTTGAACCATGAATTGAACTTCCGAAACTTGATCCTCCTTGTGAGGGCTGATGGGAGAAGCCAGTCCAGGAGGGAGTTGAAGCGGGTGGTGCTGACCATGTCCAAGGGGAAGCCATGGTGTGAGACCCGGCTGACGACCCACGTGTGGCTCCTGGTGCTGAGGAACACCTGGGGGGAAGGCAGGTCTCAGCCTCCTGCCCAGGCATCTCCTTGGTTTTGCCCTGAGTGGCAAATCCCATCTCCTGCACTTGAGCCGACACAGAGCTAACCCAAGGGAAGGAGATGACATCCAGATGAACCAAGCAGCTTGGGTGGCTTTGATAAAGGGCCCACAGCTGCTCAATTGCCAGTCCTCAGGCGGCCCAAACTCTCCAGGAGTCACAAAACTTCTTCAAATGCCCTCACTGAGAAGTGAAATTTATTGAGGAACCTGGGGGCAAAGCTCCCTGAGGTACCTTGAGCTGATGCCTCAGGTTTTAGCTTTTCTATTTTTCAGATTCTGTTCTGCTTTAGTGTGTAAGTCTGGGCTTCCTATTAGGGGATGGTGAGCTCTCTGCACAGAGCAGGGAGACAAAACAATTCCTTCTCTAGCTGGGGACCAAGGACAAATGATCCAAATCTCAGGCCCAAGATCATAAACAATGTGGACTGAAGAGAGAAAAACAAGAAGGATGGGACTTCGTGGGCTACAGCTGGAACTGGACAATTAACTCCAATATAAAAATGGAGCAGAACTTATAAAAGTGAGAGACCTCATGACTGGTTGTGCATTTTGTGGCCATTTTGGGTTGTGCTGCCCAAAGTGGATCTGTTGACTCTTCTTAATAAATCTCTATTTTATTCTTTAGCTCCGTCTAGTCTCTGTTCTAGGTCAGCCCTCACAGGGCATCAGGGACACTGGCTCTCAGAGGCCCTGTCTGGAGCACCATGGAGCTGTACCTTGGCAGCCACATGGCTCAGCTCCACGGAGAGGTCACCGCCGGTGTTGCCGATGCCAACCACCAGGACGCGCTTCCCTCGGAAAGCCTGCACATCTCTGTACTCCCAGCTGTGCAGGCACTGGCCTTTGAAGCGGCTTTCAATGCCTAGGCAGAGAGCAGGGAGCATCTCCTACTGCCAGATACTGCCAGATTCACTCACCCCAGCCTTGTGCCCAGATCCTGTGCAGCCCCCAACTCTCCCTGCTCCCACCTCTGCGTGCAGCTGAGGAGCCCATGGAGGTCCCCTGTACTTCCTCAGCTCAGTCTTGCTTTGCAAATACTAAGAGAAAGCCTGGCTGCACCTTTACAAGGTGTTTTTCCCATTCCCTGCAATGCCCCCCACCATTTCCATGGGGTCAGGGTGCTGCCTGCTCCAGTGTGGGGGCTTCATGGAGCAGGCAGGCTTGCACAGCAAAATCCAACCAGGGGAAGCCATGGGTGCTGGGGGAACCCCACTGCTGGGACAGGCCTTACCTGGGAAAGAAGCCAATGGCAAGTAGGGCTCCTGGTAGTGGCCAGTGCAAACCATGACAGCATCGAAGACGTGGGACTCACGGACACCCTGGGTCTCGGTGACCACCTCCCACTGGCCTGAGGCGCTGAAATCCGGGCGCTTCCTCACACTGACAACTGTTGTCTTGTACAGAAGCCCAACAGAACAGCAGTCAGGGATGATGGAGATGTGCCTGTGAAAGGCTGGAGCTGCTGGGAGCAGGCTGGCTCCCTGGGGAGCTGCGTGCCACTTCTGAAGCTGTAAAACCCCACCCTGCATTTGCCCTGGTGGTGGCACTGGGGGCAAGCCTGTGTTAAACCAGCCTCAGTTAAAACCTGGGGCTTAAAGGCTGCGTTCAGGACTCAAAAGGCACGTGGTCCTTGCGGGCTGGCACCCGGCCTTGTCCCATCCCAGCTCCAGTCTGCAGCTAGCCATGGCCCTTCTCCCCGTGGGTCCCTGCTCACCTGGAGGCGGACGTGCCGCAGGAGGTCGAAGTGCCGGGCGTACATCCTGAGGTATTCCAGGACCAGGCTGTGGGGCAGGTAGTTGGGAAAATCCTCGGGGAAGGGGAAGTCGCTGAAGCAGGACATCTCCTTGGAGGTGTTGGTGATGACCGAGCGGTACACAGTGATCCTCCTGTTGTCTGTGGAGTCCTGTGTGAAGCCAGTGCTGATGTTTCCAGGTGTGCAGGGGAAGACTTTTTTTTCATCAAGTATATGAGTATTTTTCTTCCTCACATTTTGGTACAAGGAATAAGCCAGGACTAGCACCTGGAGACAATCATTACTGCTCCCTCTGTTGGATTAAGCTCTTTTCTGACCCAGAGATGGGGAAACTGAGAGGTGTTTAAAATCTTTTGTTCCATTTTCAGTCTCATGTGAAGGGTGAGACAATATAGATGTTATAATTCACGCCATCACAATCAGAAGCCAAGTAATTCTTAATTAGAATACACTATAAGTGTTTCTTGGCCTATCAGCTTTTGCCACACCATGCTGTAAATGCCTTAAAACAAATAATCTAAAATTACCCCTCATGGGTCCTACTACAGTGCATCTTTCACAGTTCTATTTCTCCAAAGTATCTAGTCTCATTTGCAAAACCATCCTTTGAAACTTGTTTCTAGTTCCCTTTCTCTCTCAGCAATGTCTGTCCTGTTCCATGGCATTTCTAAGTCAGCATTTCTTATCTCGAAGTTTACATACAGATGCACACACTGTGTGAGCCTTCTACCAGCTTTTGAGAATTCTCTACAAATCCATTTCCCACATTTCCCCGTCTCTCTTGAACGGACAAAAACTTCTTTGATGGCTTTGTTTATCCTTTGCAAGTGAAGTACGCAAGGCACAATCACTAACATTGTCACTATGACAATCAGTGCATATAAACCTGTTTTGCAAAACTCCATCCAATTCCCGCACCCTCCATTTCCTTCTCCATCTTAGAGTTAGGAGGAGCCGTCCTTGAGGGCGTGGCCGCCCTTTCCTCTTTGCTGCAGTCCAGGAGTGTCCAAGGAAGGGGACAAACCCGGGGACAAACGCAGAGGGCACTGACCGTGTAGCGCCAGACGCCGCCGATGTCCGCGCTGCTCTCGAAGCAGGTGGGCTCCAGCCCCTCATCCAGGCAGCACTTGACAGAGGCCAAGCCCCCAGCCCCAGCCCCGACCACGGCCACACGCCGGACCATGCTGGCCTGCAGCAGGTGACAGGCTGGTGTGAGAGCTGCTGGAAACACAACAGCCCAGGGATCAGCAGAAATGCCAGCTCCTTCTTCCCAACCCCAGCAAAACACCCCTGGTCTTCTCCAGCTGCAGGTGTCCATGAAGGAAAACTGTCCTGGGAGAAAGCCACGGCCACTGTCCTGGGAGAAAGCCACTGCTGGTGCAAGTGCTGTGCACAAATCCTGCTCATTACCCTTCCTACTGTGCCAAACCCACTCTGGGTCCAGGAATCTCCCTCCTCCATGGGGGGAAAAGGAGGCACTTTTAAACCTCGCTGTTCTGCCGCTTCAATTTATTCTCTTTTCTAGCCCATGCAAAGAAGTTGCAGCTATCTTCTTCTGCCCAATCATCCTGAAACCTCTGGGAGAAGCAACTCCAGCTAAGCTGGCTCGTTTTCACGCTTTCCTTTTTAACTTCCCATTAAAGAGCAATCTCTTGAAAACAAAAAGGGTTTAAAAAGAGGGAGAAAAGCAAAGCAATGCCTGACTGAGCAGGAGCACGGCGCAGCCATTCAGAAGTTAGACAGCTCCGTGAAAGCAAGGCTGGGATTACAGGATATACAAAAGGTAAGAAACCCAGGAAACGCTGGGTATAAATGAGAGGAACTCAAAACTGGGGTGTGTAAACTGAGCTGCACCAAGCTTGACTGGAAAGCAAAGAAACTAGGAAAAAATGAACCCACATGAAGTTTGATTAGATAAGAAATACTGCTACTGCAGGGTCTGCAGAAAGAGTAATTTATAACTTTTTCTATTGGTTTTGTGTCAAAAAGTAAGTTAACATAAATAGAAACTGGAGGAAACTGAAGAAAGCCAGGGAAAAAAATGAGGGAGGTGCAAAACAACCCCTTTGGCATTCACAAGCCTGGCCTGAGCCAGTCCTTGATATGCAGGAACAGGGCAGGACATGCTCACAGCCGCCCGCCTCGTTTCTGGAGCCTTCTTTGGCTTCAGGAAAGGACAGGCAAGCTCAGGGTGCCCAAGCCACCCCGCTTTTCCAGCACTGCCTGCAGATGGTTTTACTCCAGAGGGTCCCTGCAACACCCCTCTCCCCCCACCAGCAGCAAGGCAAAGCCAGCAGTGAATGCCAAAACCCTGGAGAGCTGTCTGCCCGCTTTTAAACCCTGCCAAACCCACCCAAGAGAAGTGAGGAGCAAACCTTGCAGGACAGCGCTGCGCCTTCGCCGCTCTGCCCTCCGAATTTCCCTTGAGTTTCTCTGGCTGTGGATTGGAAGGGAAGGCTGAAGTCCAGGCAGCTCGCCACAGCTCTTGCACCACTGACCTTTACACCTGCATTCCCCCGCCCTGTGGGCTTAAATGCACTGGAAGAAAGTTCTCAGCCTCCCTGTGGCAGTGCCAGGTGAAAATTCAGAGATAATTCCAAAGGGAACACCCTTGCAAGGACTCCCACGCTGTAACTTGTCACTGCTGCAGCCAGGCAGCAGCGTGGGGCTGTCTTGGTCCTTTTGTGGTGCCTGTGCTGGGCTTGTGTTCCCTTGGCATCCCCAGGAGATCAGCAGAACACGCTCCCTTGGCCAGCAGACGGCGTGGATGTGGGACACAGAGCACCTCATGTGCAGCCTCATTTTGGGGAGTCAGGGAGCTGGTCCTTTTGTGGTGCCTGTGCTGGGCTCGTGTTCCCTTGGCATCCCCAGGAGATCACAGAACGCGCTCCCTTGGCCAGCAGACGGTGTGGATGTGGGACACAGAGCACCTCATGTGCAGCCTCATTTTGGGGAGTCAGGGAGAGCCCTGAGGGCCCCAGCCTTGTGAGTTGCCCACAGCAATTGGTGGCACAGCCCCGGCTCAGACACGGGCTCTCCCCCCCAGCTCTTCCCATGCACGCAAGGAAAGGACAGGGAGGCATCTGCAGCACGCTCCTGCCACAGCCACTGAGATTTTATTCATTTAAAGTCTCTCCATGCACAAAACAAAGCCTCAGGATTGTCCAGTGGTGGGGCACGCAGGGAAGCAAAGGCAGGAGTGCTCAGCCCCACAGGCTCATGTGTGACAAACCACCACAACTGGAAAGATGCATCCATTCAACCCCAACTGGGGTTTTGGGGTTGCAGTGTTTAGGTTGGGAGAAGGGAACAGCCTGACCTGTGTACACAGCCCAGATAATTCCTGTGATAGATAATCACAGGAATATTTTCCCAGATAATTTTTGCTGCTGTGACATACCACCACTTCTACTGGTCTTGTCCTCTCTGCATCCTGTCTCGTGTGATCCAGGCACAATCATGGCACCAATCCCTGCTCTGCTGCTGGCAGCAGGCAGGGGAGCAGAGGGGCAACAGACACTTGGGCAAGGCTGCCACCCCTGGATAATGAGGCCTGCAAAGCTGGGCTTGGGGTTGAGCTGGAGCAGAGGGAGGTTTATGCTGCAGGTTGCAGATTAAAGTTTGTTGCCATCCACTGAAATCCTTTTCCCCAGTCCCGTGCACACTGAGGAGCTGTCTGACCTGAGATAAAATCCCTCGGGACAAAAAAACCCAACCCAACCAAAAAATAAACAAACAAACATGCTCTAAAAGCTATAGGAAACCAAAAATCACGGCAGCCAGGAGCAGAAGGAATCCCACCACAGTCAGGAGAGGTAGGAAGGAGCTGGAGGAGGCAGCAGGGACTCGTGTTCTTGTGGGCTTTAGGACACGGTCCCACTGGGTGAGGATGGCCTGCCGTGCCCCCTCCCAGCGCCCAGGGCCCCCCAGCCGGTACTGGTAGGGGGAGCAGGGGCCAAAGAAGATGGTGAGGGCCAGCCAAGGGTCTGTGCAGAGCAGCCTCAGCACGCTGGGCTTGGCACCAATGAAGGAGGCCAGCGTGTCCAGGTAGACCAGCCACTCGGTTTTGAGGACTTCGTCAAAGGTCAGACCAAACCTGAATGAACCAGAGAAGAGAAAGAGGCAGGAGGAAGGTTGGTATCAGCAGGGCTTAGAGGAACTGGGGTGGAGATCCTCTGCATCCTTGGAGTTATTGCATCTGGAATGAAACGGGGTTCTCTAGGGAAGGACTGGATGTAGGGGCAGTGGGAACTGTGACACAACTCCTGGCCACCACACTGCTCCTGTAAAGTGATGCTGGCTCGAGTCAGTCTTTCTCTTCCTCACTCACAAGCTGCACATGTTCCTCCCCTTCCCCTTGGTGAATCTTTGTTAGCAGACTTTGGCAAACCAGTTTGGGGGTCTTTTTCAAAGCAAGCAAACAAAAAAACCCTCAAACCCAAATCCCTTTGCTTTTTGCAGAAAAGTCATGTGCAGCATGAGAAAGGTAGCACCCTTTGGTATCCCTCACGTTCATTTCCACCAAATATTGCAAGAATACACAGTGACTTGGAGAATTGCTTCCAGTTCACCTTCTCTGCAGAATTCACAGCTTTGTGTCCCACCTTCAGAGGTCTGCAAAAGCCCACATCCACTTAGCCTGGTATTGTATTCCGTGCAATTCTGTACTTCACTCTCTTATAGCTATTTAGGTGAACCATGGATTTATCACCCAGTTTCCTGGGACTGGCTCATTCATTCCCTAATCCTTCTTAGCCTTTTGCCTGCCTGTGAACCACACACCAGTGTGCTCAGACACCTGTTCACAGTGTCTCCATGCTGGGAGATGAGACAATCTGTGTGTACACCTCACTGCTTGTGGGCTGGCTTTTTCCCCCCCAGCTGAATTACTTTGCATTTATTACCATTAATTTCTCTGCCATTTTATCTCTCAGTCCCTGGGGATCCTGGCGTTCTTCCCCAACTCCCAAGCAAGCTTTAGCCTTGAGTACCCTGGATTAATTTCTTCCTGTCACCAACAGGCAAAATATCAGTGTTAAATCAAAGTTTACGCTGGCTCTTTGCAAGTGAGTAAAGGGGAAGCTGGATCCAGGAATCCTCTCCTCTCTTCTGCCATGTGTGCAGGGAACAGGCAGAGAGTGAGAGCCCCAAAAACTCCAGAGGTTTTTCAATCCTCCAAAAAACCTCTGGGGCTCTGGGGAATGACTTACCATTGGATTTGATTTTTCTTCCTCTCATTTACTTCCTTCTCCATGACAGCCTGGGGAGGCAACTGACACAAGCCTGGAAGAGAGGGGAGAGTGCCCTGCCGAGTTTAACTCCTGGGAGGGAAGTGTGAACTCATTCAGTGATGCAAAATATGGGAATCCCTTCCCTGGGAGGGCAGGAAACTCTCATTGCTGGCAGTTGATTCAGCAGTGCTGCAGTCCTGCCCAAAACCAGCCCTCCAGTATTCCAAATTCACCCACACCTCCTCCTGCTCTTACAGATGTGTGCTGATGGGGCACAGGCAGGTGATGTGGGGTCAGATGGGTTGTGCAAGCCCCAGAGAGGATCACCCCAAAAAGAAACCCCAGAGCTTCTCATCTCTGTGGAGTAGTCCTGACCCAGCCCTCCATGAGGTTATTCTTACTATTTTTATTAAAAACCCCAAAAAAACACCAGTAGCTTTCTTTCCTCACTCCTCTTGCTGTAGCTTAGCTGAAGTGAAATAACTTGGAAAGTCTTGGAAATGCCTTGGAAATGCTCCCTTGTCTGCTGTGAACTTCTTAGCTCTGGGATGTCCCTGGCTGGAGGGACAAAACATGTCCAGTTTTGTCTGAGCTGCATTTTGGGGGGATAAGAGGGGCTCACATTTGCTCCCCTACCTTTGAAGACACGGCTCACCCAGCGTGCCTGCATCTCTGCCACGGGCATGATGGCTCCAAAGGGCTTAATCAGCCCAAGGACAGCCAGGGTGGGCTTCTGCAGGTGGGTTGGGAACACGTATTTGTAGAGGGACGCGTGCTTGTTTTCCACCCTGATGATGGATTCTTCCAGGAAGGGGAAGGAGATGGTGTAGCCCGTGCAGAAGACAACAATATCGATGGGCTCCTCCTCAGGGCAGTTGTGGAAAAGGACTGAGTTGTCCTTGAACTCCTTCACGCCCGGCTTGATGGTGATCCTGCCTGTCAGGATGTAGCTTGGGAGGTCGTCGTTCAGCAGGGGCTCCCGCACCAGCCAGCTGTGGAGAGCCAGGGGCTCTGAGAGTGGGGCACCACAAACAAGCCTTGCTGGTCCCCTGCTCCTCCTCCCACCAGCTCACACCTCCCGGTGTCATTTTCTCTGAGCAAACAGCCCTGCCCCCCACCTCCATGCAAAGACACGTGTCACCAATGCCACCCTGTCCCACAGCGTGAGTGATTCACGGACATCTCCTGCTGCTTTATTCCCTTCACTCGGTTACTCTCCAAACCATCTCTTTCCAGAACTGATCCATGCTTTAAGCCTTCCTTCTCCTCTTTACCCGGAGACCCTCACAAGGAAATCTCCTCTGGGCCTTTTCCAGCATGCCCAATCTTTCACCACTTAAGAGAGCTACAGCTTATTTTCTCCTCCCTGTTGGAGGGGCACTGGTTGGTGCTGGTTGCTGAACATCTTCCCCTGCCCACACCATGGGATGGGGACCACCAAGAAGTACCTGTTCTCTGGCTGAAGGCCATAGTTTTCATGGCTGAACCACCGGTTCACCTTATAATTAATCAACCACCATGAAAGGGGTCCGGGGAGGTTGGTTTTGATCAGGCTCATAAAGCGAGTGTTTAAAATCATATCCCATGGGTAGCCGTGCTCAAACACACGGCTGAGCAGCCAGGCTCCTCGAGTGGTGCTAATGGTCACCTGGAAGAGAAGAACCAATGGTTCAGGTGATGAATTTGCTGCTTTTCCTTTTTAAAGAAACTCAGAGGTGCACGGTGCAGACAGCCGTGAGATGGAAAAGCAGCAACAGCATCTTTAATTTCTCCTGGCTGCTGGTGATGGAGGTGAAACAGGAGACAAGAAGAAAACCAGCTTGCTTTCAAGGTAGCTTCTTGGCCAAAAAATTCAGGCTCAGAAAGACTGTTTGTACACCACGTCCCTGTGATGACAGCACACTGAGCTGCTGTCCTGTGTCCCCCTCCCCACACCCCTGGGGTGGCAGGGTGGTGGCACCTTTGCAGCAACACGACTGGCCTCCACTGCGATGTCCACTCCGGAGTTGCCCATGCCCACCACGAGGACACGCTTGCCCTGGAACACGTCAGGATGCTTGTACTGCCTGCTGTGGAAGTACTGCCCTTGAAACCTCTCGATGCCTCGGGGGAGAAAGAAACAGAGCTTTGAAGCACTCCAGCATTTGTGGATTTTGTTGGGAGAACTGGCGTAAAAAAGCAAGGAAGTGCAATTTCTGCAATTGCAAGAAATTGCAAGAGCAAAGAAGTGCAATTTCTGGCCACCAGGGTCTCGGGGAGGTCCATCCCTCCATCCCATGCACACAGAATTAATTGATACTTCCTCTCCAAAATGGGGTCACAGAGACAAAGCTGCTGAAGCACAGGAAAGTATTGCTGTTGATGCC